TAAAGAATTGAGATGTTTGATAAATTAAATTGTTTCATGTTTGTTTCATTGTTACAGTTTTAAAGAATTAAGATGTTTGCTAAATCAGATTATTTCACGTTGGTTTCATTGTTACAGTTTTAAAGAATTAAGATGTTTGATAAATCATTGTTTCATATTTGTTTTATTGTTACATTTTTAAAGAATTAAGATGGATGGTAAATCATTGTTTCATACTTGTTTTATTGTTACATTTTTAAAGAATTAAGATGGATGGTAAATCATTGTTTCATACTTGTTTTATTGTTACATTTAAAAAAATATTAAGATGTTTGGTAAATGAAAATTTTTAATGTGTATATCTCATTCTTACATGTTTATCAGAAAATTTAATGTATATGTTTTATTGTTCCATTTTTTTAAGAACAAATCCATCAAAGAAAATGTATCTGATGAATTCCAATCATCCAAGAAGAATTTTGTAGAATGAGCAAGAACAGGTAGTGGGATTGTTTCTTTTAATCTTAAAAATATTTATTGTTTTGGTTTTATAACATTCTGATGAAAGAATATCGAAAATAATAATTTACAGATCACAAAGAATTTGATTAGCCACATTGGTTAGATGGAAGTTAGTTGAGGACGTTGTTCCGTAGACAGTGGTTGTAAGTCGTATCCTTACTTGATTGTTAAAATATAAAAATATCAAGGTGTACGATGAATAGTTTTCTGCTGTTATGTAGGAATATGTTGATTAATTAATCTTGGATAATTTCAATATTATGTAGATACAACGGTTAGTATGTTCTGTTTGAGGCAAAAGGTCTAGTTGGTTCTGGATATGGCAAGTATAGTGTGGTTGACTCATTCTCGTTTATTTAAAATCTTTGTTGATATAAAATGATTATTATAATTGTTCAGATGCTTATTTTAAAGCTTCATTTTTCTTGCACGATTTGTTTCAACTGCACAATTAAATTTTAACTTCATTTTTAATACATGATGCCTTATTGCACCTCATATATATATATATATATAT